AGGATTTTACCGAGTACAAATCCTCCGAAAAGCCTATGAAAACGTTACATTTTTCTCTGTTGGTGCTGTTCTTGCTTCATTATGAATTCATTTTTACTTCCATGAGAATTCCGTGGAATTTCCATGGAATTTGTGCTTTCGAGTTGTTTGTGCTGAAACGCATTCTCTCGTATAATACCCCGTACACTTTGAAATGGCGATACCACAATTTACCCCGCGACAGAGAGCTTTTATGGTATCAGATTTCCACCGTAGCAACAACATAAACTTCGTTCGCCAAAGTTTCACGAACGAATATCCAGATGTACGATGCCCTTCACGTATTCACACGTGAAGGGCATCATCATACATCTGGATATTCTTTCGTGAAACTTTGAAGAACCAAGTTGATGTTGTTGCTACGGAGGAACTCTGATACCATAAGAGCTCTCTACTGCGGGGAAAATTGTGGCATCGCCGTTTCAAAGTGTACGGGGTATTATACGAGAAAATGCGTTTCAGCACAAACAACTCGAAAGCACAAATTCCATGGAAATTCCACGGAACTCTCATGGGAGTAAAAATGAATTCATAAGCAAGAACAGCACCAACAGAGAAAAATGTAACGTTTTCATAGGCTTTTCGGAGGATTTGTACTCGGTAAAATCCTGCCGAAATTTTATCATAAATGCAACAAATAGCGAACTTTTCATACATGAACTCAAATAAAGAATACCGTTTGTTATTTCCGTGCGCAAGCCACTTTTAGGGGAGCAAAAGTTGACCACCCCCCTGGATAGCAAAATTTACTATTTTCAAAATTTTTTATATTTTCCATAATTTAAGAACTCAAGCAATCCATACATATAAAAAATTACATTTCATGAACAGAATTGTGGAATTGAGAGCAATTTCAAAATTGTCTTACTTTTTTTGATACACCCTGTATAAATATATATATATATATATATATATATATATATATATATATATATATATATATATATATATATATATATATATATATATATATATATATATATGAGGAAGAGGAAGCGAAGCGCGCCATAGAAGGGTCTGGAAAGGACTTTGGAAAGTCTAATGAGTAGAGTGCTCAATACCGTAGTATAGAGCTGATAAGATTAGATTAGAAGACAAGCTTGAATTACCTCATATGAACTTTATATATATATATATATATATATAAACATATATATATAAATATATATATATATATATATATATATATATATATATATATATATATATATATATATATATATATATATATATATATATATATATATATATTTATATTTATATATATATATATTTATATATATATATATATATATACATATATATATATATATATAAAGTTCATATGAGGGTATTCTAATCTTATCAGCTCTATACTACGGTATTGAGCACTCTACTCATTAGACTTTCCAAAGTCCTTTCCAAACCCTTCTATGGCGCGCTTCGCTTCCTCTGTGGAAAGGACTTTTGTCACTTGCAGCGCGCCAAATATCACCGGTGGAAAAATCCACCGGTGACGTCATTGTTTACATCGCCGATTTGCCGAAGCGGTTTACATTATTATTATTGTATTACAATATTATATTCTCAGGCTTTCTTGTTGAACAAATGTGAACTATTGAAGCAAATAGAATAAACAATGTAATTACAATTTTGTAGAACACAAAAACCATGTGAAAATACACAAACAAGCATTACATTGAGTAGGCTATATTTAGAAGTACAGGGTGTCGAAATAAACTTTATTAATACTGTCACGTACTGAAGATACATGTAATGATTCTAAAATTTCCTCACTAGTTTCGGGTTTAGTTTGGGTTTCTTGATTTCGGTTACTGATTATTAATACAAAATCATTTGTTGAGAAAACAACGCGTATTTTTACCGGATTTTGAACTGTGGCGACGTCTTCTCGTTGATCACAATCGCCGCCTCTCTGCTTC